AGAAATTGAATAATCAAATGTAAAATAACACTGCATAGTCTTCACTGTATAAATTATATCTAATAAATCTGTTAAAGCTACAAAAGTGATTTTTCTCTGTGTTTTGTTGTTTGATTAACATTCATGACACAGAAAGCCTCATTAAACTGCTGTGAACCAAAATACTGTTACACGTCCGTTTCCTTTCTCAATTGTTTACCTTCACCTAAGCAACTTACAAGGATACTTGCAGAGACATGCATTTTGACAATTTCACACAAATAGACGCAGAAGTGAACGGAATTCAGTGTTCACGTGCATCTGCGCGGCTCTCACCGTGTCTACACCGGACACGAGCGGTGCGACGCGACAAAATACTGAACCCATTATAATCAGCGATACTGTCTACAGATGCGGCACGACACAATAAATCACCGACAGTAAACAGCTGCCTCGTTCTATTTACAACGTGCTGACACAAAGTTCATCGATGCTTTAACGATATATCGTGCAACCCTAATCCAAACAGCTGACAAAAACATCACAATAATCCACAAGTAATCCACAGCACTCCAGTCCATCAGTTAACATCTGGAGAAGACAGAAGCTGAAACAAATCCAGCATTAAGACGTTTAAGACAAATCCAGCATTAAGACGACCACATATTTGTTTAGAGCTGTTTTGGCTTGATCTGTGCAGATTTCTCTCCTGATTCAGACCAGAACACTTTTTCACTGGAGGAAGCGAAATTATGGACTCAGATTTTAGTTAAAAACGTCTTAATGCTGGATGTGTTTCAGCTTTTGTCTTCTCCAGATGTTAACTGATGGACTGGAGTGCTGTGGATTACTTGTGGATTATTGTGATGTTTTTATCAGCTGTTTAGACTCTCATTCTGACGGCACCCATTCACTGCAGAGCATCCATTGCTGAGACACTGATGCAATGCTACATTTCTCCAAATCTGATGAAGAAACAAACTCATCTACATCTCGGATGGCCTGAGGGTGAACACATTTTATTTATTGGCTATTCCTCCAATAAAATAAACATTCAGGCCATCTGCATCAGCACAGGTGCTGAAACTCCCACAAACACACTCACTCTCTCTTTGTCTGTCTTTCCTTTGAGAGTTTGAACACGGCACACGAGACCTTTGAAGCGTGTTGCCATTGGATACAGAACTGCAGTGTGAGACAGCTTTCAGTAATGCGACAGTCACACACTGCCTTTACACATCCAGCTGCTTTCACCGTCAACTTTGACCCAGAAGCCTGACACGGGCCAGAGCGAGAGAAAACCTGGACCACACAACAGTCATTGATGTATGGTTTGTTAGGATGGGACAATATTTGGCTGAGATACAACTATTTGAAAATCTGGAATCTGAGGGAGCAAAAAAAATCTAAATATTGAGAAAATCATCTTTAAAGTTGTCCAAATGACGTTCTTAGCAATGCATATTACTAATCAATAATTAAGCTTTGATATATTTACGGTAGGAAATGTACAAAATATCTTCATGGAACATGATCTTTACTTAATATCCTAATGATTTTTGGCATAAAAGAAAAATGGATAATTTTGACCCATACAATGTATTGTTGGCTATTGCTACAAATATACCCCAGCGACTTAACACTGCTTTTGTGCTGCAGGGTCACAAATCATTCTTAAAAGAGAAACTACAATCTCTAGATGTTAAAATCAGACAATAAGAGAACCAATGTCTCATCAACGTCTTTTAAATGTCTTATATCATCGAAAAATATCATTAGATTCATACAGCAACTAATCAGAAACACAATGCATCAGCAATATTTGCTCATTAACACACACACACACACACACCAACTGAATTAGTTCAAGTGTTTGTGCATGTTTGTCCATTACAAAAACATACTGTAGTACAATGGTACAGTAATGAAATCAGACGGTAATACAACGATACTGATTATCCAATTCTGATTACATTGTGTGCCAATGCATTCACACTAATACGTGCCAAAAACAGTATTACCATAGTACATCCATAAAAACATGACAATACCATTGTAATTTGATTGCAAACCATGTGACTGAATAAACACACCATGGTATTTATATGGTTTACAAATCAATAACAAAAATAGCATGGTTTTACAGACTATGTACCATAGTATTACCATATATTTTGAACATATTCCGTGGTGCCGTAATGATTTTTGGGATGTATACCATGGTATTCTTGAAAGTACCTTCTAAATCCCATGGTGCATTAGTTTCAGTACTTGCATCCCAAAAAATACCATTGTATTACCACGGTACATGTCCAAAACACAAGAAAATAGCATGTTACTTCACTA